ACCTAGCTGTCTGGAAGGCCAGACTTAGCTATCTGGCCGGCCGGCAAGACAGCTATGTCCGGCCAGCCAGATAGCTATGTCCAGCCGGCTAAACAGCTAGGTCCGGCTGTGTCGCAGCCGGACACGACTGGGGGACACGACCGGGAGACCCATGAGGCAGCGCACAATTGGCCCTGCATCGTCCGGGTTAGGGTTTGGCCGGCTGGGATGTCCTTGTCCCATTGCGCTCTAGCGACTCCTTGTGGCGGCCGGGCACATGCACGCTGACTTCTGTCGCCAGCTGTATGGTCTTTCCTCCGACACGTTGGTGCAGCTGGCTTCCAGGTTAAGCGAGCAGTGTGTCAAGAAGCAGTGCAGCTTGGCGGGGTCGTGTTTCAGAGGACGCATGGCTCTCGACCTTCGCCTCTCCCGAGTCCGTACGGGAGTTTCAGCGACGGGACAAGACTGTAACTACCAATTGGATATCACGAAAATTGGGGAGAAAAATGGGTAAGAAGTACCAAAATAAATTATATGTAGAAACATCTCAAGGATGATCAATGGAAACAGGATGTAACTGAGCTCAATTTTGAGTCTCATAGCAAAGGGTCTGAATACTTACGTTTTTTTTTTTTTTTTTAAGACATTTGCAAAAATTCAGAAAAACCTGTTTTCACTTGGTCATTATGGGGTATTGTGTGTAGACTGATGAGTTAATAACAGCATGTTGAAAAAAGGAAGGAGTCTGAATACTTTCCGAATGCACTGTAATGCATTTTTTAAAGAAAAACATCAGTAGAGTTGAAAATGCGATGGAAACCCATTTATCTTGTATTTTTTTATTCGGAACATGGGAATTTAACCGCAAAAGGTATTTGTATGTGTACTACATCATCATTCAGCCATTTTGGCACAGTAACTCACTACACAAACCAGACGCAACTGGTTTCAAGTGGCCAAGAGACCTCATGTGATCCCCTACTACTATCTAGTGGACAAGCTGGGAATCAGACAGGGGACATATTTACATCAATGGATAGGTAGAGACTTCAGCATTCTTGTATGTATATCATTCCTGTGAGACAAACAATTAAGGCATGGCATGTTGCACAAGCTGCTGTATCTCGGGCTCTGTAGTAGTCAGTAGTAGTAGTTGTGTCTGACACCTTAATCAGAATCCCACAGTTCTTACCTTTCTAACAGTACTAAGCATGTATTTGTAGGACATATTGTTTAGAAACCGAAATGTACTTTATGAGGGTAGTATACAATATTATGTGTCGTTTAGAAAATGCCACCAGAGGGGGTCAGAGTTTAACAGGATAAGTTCAAGGTCAGAATATGTGTAGAGAGAAGTCCATAAAGGGAATTAAGTTAAATTTACTTGCGGAATCGGTCACATAGCTATAACGCGGAGACCCTGAGCTCTGACACGTATAGCATGTTACTGTACAGCCACTGCGTTCCAACTTAGGCGTTTAAATCAGTGACCAAATCTATAATTTTCCTACAGTATACGGGTTACGATTGTAAAGGGCTATGAGGTCAATAAGAGTTTGAAGGTGGAATCTTCATGTAATATTTATTTGATAAGTTGTTCAATCACAGAACAAACTAGATAACATGATCATTTACAATGGTGGAAAGAATGGCATGTGCTCCTTCTTACAATATCTGCAGGACAATATTAAAGTGAAGCTGCTCACCCAGCGATATGTTGATATGGATCCAAGACTAACTAAAAACTGTTTACTTTCAGACTTCAGAATATGTAATTAACGTGTACTCAGAGGGAGCAAAGCAGAACAGTGCAGGTAGAAATGTTATGTATACTGTAGCTAGATGTGGCAGTTACAGTGGGGGAAAAAAGTATTTAGTCAGCCACCAATTGTGCAAGTTCTCCCACTTAAAAATATGAGAGGCCTGTAATTTTCATCATAGGTACACGTCAACTATGACAGACAAATTGAGGAAAAAAATTCCAGAAAATCACATTGTAGAATTTTTTATATATTTATTTGCAAATTATGGTGGAAAATAAGTATTTGGTCAATAACAAAAGTTTCTCAATACTTTGCTATATATACCCTTTGTTGGCAATGACACAGGTCAAACATTTTCTGTAAGTCTTCACAAGGTTTTCACACACTGTTGCTGGTATTTTGGCCCATTCCTCCATGCAGATCTCCTCTAGAGCAGTGATGTTTTGGGGCTGTCGCTGGGCAACACAGACTTTCAACTCCCTCCAAAGATTTTCTATGGGGTTGAGATCTAGAGACTGGCTAGGCCACTCCAGGACCTTGAAATGCTTCTTACGAAGCCACTCCTTCGCTGCCCGGGCGGTGTGTTTGGGATCATTGTCATGCTGAAAGACCCAGCCACGTTTCATCTTCAATGCCCTTGCTGATGGAAGGAGGTTTTCACTCAAAATCTCACGATACATGGCCCCATTCATTGTTTCCTTTACACGGATCAGTCGTCCTGGTCCCTTTGCAGAAAAACAGCCCCAAAGCATGATGTTTCCACCCCCATGCTTCACAGTAGGTATGGTGTTCTTTGGATGCAACTCAGCATTCTTTGTCCTCCAAACACGACGAGTTGAGTTTTTACCAAAAAGTTATATTTTGGTTTCATCTGACCATATGACATTCTCCCAATCCTCTTATGGATCATCCAAATGCACTCTAGCAAACTTCAGACGGGCCTGGACATGTACTGGCTTAAGCAGGGGGACACGTCTGGCACTGCAGGATTTGAGTCCCTGGCGGCGTAGTGTGTTACTGATGGTAGGCTTTGTTACTTTGGTCTCAGCTCTCTGCAGGTCATTCACTAGGTCCCCCCGTGTGGTTCTGGGATTTTTGCTCACCGTTCTTGTAATCATTTTGACCCCACGGGGTGAGATCTTGCATGGAGCCCCAGATCGAGGGAGATTATCAGTGGTCTTGTATGTCTTCCATTTCCTAATAATTGCTCCCACAGTTGATTTCTTCAAACCAAGCTGCTTACCTATTGCAGATTCAGTCTTCCCAGCCTGGTGCAGGTCTACAATTTTGTTTCAGGTGTCCTTTGACAGCTCTTTGGTCTTGGCCATAGTGGAGTTTGGAGTGTGACTGTTTGAGGTTGTGGACAGGTGTCTTTTATACTGATAACAAGTTCAAACAGGTGCCATTAATACAGGTAACGAGTGGAGGACAGAGGAGCCTCTTAAAGAAGAAGTTACAGGTCTGTGAGAGCCAGAAATCTTGCTTGTTTGTAGGTGACCAAATACTTATTTTCCACCATAATTTGCAAATAAATTCATTAACAATCCTATAATGTGATTTTCTGGAAAAAAAAGTCTCAATTTGTCTGTCATAGTTGACGTGTACCTATGATGAAAATTACAGGCCTCTCTCATCTTTTTAAGTGGGAGAACTTGCACAATTGGTGGCTGACTAAATACTTTTTTCCCCCACTGTATCTATGATATGGGAGAACCATGTATATTACATATACAGTGCCTTCAGAAAGTATTCAAACCCCTTGACTTATGCCACATTTTGTTGTGTTAAATCCTGAATTCAGAATGGATTAAAAAAAATCTCATTCATCTTCACACAATACCCTATAATGACAAAGTGAAAACATGTTTTTAGAAATGTTGGCAAATTTATTGAAAATGAAATACAGAAATATCTCATTTACAGAAGTATTCACACCCCTGAGTCAATACATGTTAGAATCACCTTTGGCAGCAATTACAGTTGTGAGTCTTTCTGTGCAAGTCTCTAAGAGCTTTGCACACCTGGATTGTACATTATTCTTTTTAACATTCTTCAAGCTCTGTCAAGTTGGTTGTTGATCACTGCTAGACAGCCATCTTTCAAGTCTTGCCATAGATTTTCAAGTCGATTTAAGTCAAAACTCTAACTAGGCCACTCAGTTACATTCAATGCCGTCTTGGTAAGCAACTCCAGTGTATATTTGGACTTGTGTTTTAGGTTATTGTCCTGCTGAAAGGTGAATTTGTCTCCCAGTGTCTGTTGGAAAGCAGACAGAACTAGGTATTCCTCTAGGATTTTGCTTGTGTGTAGCTCTATTCAGTTTCTTTTTATCCCAAAAAAACTCCCTAGTCCTTGCCGATGACAAGCATACCGATAACATGATGCGTCCACCACCATGCTTGAAAATATGGAGTAGTACTCAAGTGTGTTGGATTTGCCCCAAACGTAACGCTTTGTATTCAGGACATAAAGTTAATTTATTTGCCGCAGTTTTACTTTACTGCCTTATTGCAAACAGGATGCATGTTTTTGAATATTTTTATTCCCTACAGGCTTACTTATTTTCCCTCTGTCATTTAGGTTAGTATTGCGGAGTAACTACAATGTTGCTGATCCATACGCTGTTTTCTCCTATCACAGCCATTAAACTCTGTAACTGTTTGAAAGTCATTGGCCTCATGGTGAAATCCCTGAGCGGTTTCCTTCCTCTCCGGCAACTAGTTAGGACGGATGCCTGTATCTTTGTAGTGAATGGGTGTATTGATACACCATTCAAAGTGTAGTTAATAACTTCACCATGCTCAAAGGATATTCAATGCCTGTTTTCTTTCTCTTCTACCTATAGGTACCCTTCTTTGTGAGACATTGGAAAACCTCCCTGGTCTTTGTGGTTGAAATTCACTGCTCGACTGAGGGACCTTACAGATATTGTATGTGGGGTACAGAGATGAGGTGGTCATTCAAAAATCATGTTAAACACTATATCGTGAGTCCATGCAACTCACGTGACTTGCTAAGCCCATCTTTACTCCTGAACTTTAGGCTTGCCATAACAAAAGTGTTGAATACTTATTGACTCATGACATTTCAGATTTTAATTTTTTTATTAATTAGTGAAATATTCTACAAACATAATTCCACTTTGACATTATGGGTTATTGTGTGTAGTAGGTAGGCCAGTGACACAAAATCTAAATGTTATCAATTTTAAATTCAGGCTCTAACGCAACAAAATGTGGAACATGTCAAGGGGTGTGAATACTTTCTGAAGGCACTGTATATCTGCAGTGGACACAATTCTACATATAATGTGGGATAGAAAATTTCATCTGCAATTTTCATGCCTGAGCTAGTCCAGGGTGGATTTCTCATTTCATAGAGTTTGTATAGTCACTCCATTTTAGATGAGATGTGTAGCTTTAAAACAGAGAAACAAGTCTCAGATATCCAGTTTACCTCACTGATTTATTATATTTCATAACTCTTATAAAAACATGATCTTAATGTTCATGTGTAACACCATTGCCTTGGACATAGGTTTAGTATGGATGCACTACTGATACGTACTCCATGGAGATTTATAGATTGCAATATTTCACAACACCTATGTTCATAACAAATCCCAAAGAAATAAAAACCAAAAGGCATAATTTTGACATCATTATTCTGGATGATTCCATACTAGATCAACAACCGTATAGTACCACATATAGGGGATTGTATAGCAAAGGATAAGAAACACCCAACTAAATTGATGTGCAGTACATCCTCAGTATTCAATCAACCCACACATGTAACTTCATCTCCATTGGTGAATAAACTATATCTAAACAAGTGTTATATAGGAAACAATCAACACTTCTGTTGACATTTTAAAGCGGAAATGTTCTCAACTCCTGACCTGAGTTTTTCCATTGTGGCAGATAATACATCATTTTCAACCAATATAAAATCATACCGTCTATCTGCCTGGAGGTAAACTATGATAGAAACCACTTCAACAAATGTTTCCTACTGTAATGGAAAAACACAATCCAGGCACTATTGGGATCATCTTGAATTATTTGGGTGGATGACTTGACGGAGAGGTGCGAAGAGGAACACGTTTGTATCGGTTTTCTTTAAACCGAAGTGGGCATGTTTTGCAATTGAGTGTACCTTAATCTTAAGAGGTAATCTTGTCTTTATACAACCAAGTACTATGATTAAATCCATACTAATAATGTGTTAGAATCACATTGCTCCAAAGAGTAAGGTATGAATGTTTTTCCTCCCACCTCATTTTCCAACTAGATGTTGACATAAGTGATTACCATTAAGAATCAAGACATGACAAAAATTCCAGAACAAATAAATACAAATAGTTTGTAAGACTGGAAGGAAGCACTGGAAGGAATTAATACTCTCTCTGAAAGGAACAGAATTGCCCTTTCCTTTCCACTTAACAAGTCTTCACCAAGTCCTCCCTGATGGAGACCGTGAAAAGAGGCGCAGCAGCTGTGGTGAGGTGTTGCTTCTGTTGCCAGAGAGAATCAGGTCAAGGATAAAAAAATGTGTCCATCATGCCACTCATGCTTCGCTCAGTACCTGTGAAGAGTAAAAGAGAGTATGGATAAAAGTGAGACAAAGCAAGTATGGAAGAGACCTGGTGTAGGAATTTCACTAGGGCGAGGGAAATGCCCTGAAATGTTCAAACATTTACATTTTAGTAATTTAGCAGACGCGCTTATCCAGAGCAACTTACAGTTAGTGAGTGCATACATTTTCATACTTCATCATGAAATGCCCTTGAAATTGCTGTATGAGGTGTCTGACACGTACAGTAAATCTGATTTTGTATTTGTAACAGGGTTACCTTTCTTGCAAACTCAGGGAGGATGAACGATGCACTGTGGATCTCCGGGTTGTAATACCTCAGGTTCATACTTTCCACTTCATTTGTTGAGAGTTCTCTCACTGGATCTCTAAAATTGGTTTGCTAAATACAAAAAGAAAAACAATTATCGTAAGACCATTTTGGACTGTGACCAACATTGGAAAAAGGTCATGACTACAGAAGTGCGTTTCAGAAGTTTTTAAATAGTTAGCTTGTTTAGAGGCCTGAAAAACAACTTGTGTTTTTTTTATTTTTTTTATCTCACATCTTGGAATCAACGTGTCAATGTAAGGTTCATACATCTGTAGTCATCTTTTAGCATATGAATCCCAGAAATCCTTACATTCAATTATTTAAGGACTTCATCTACATTAGCTAAGCGCATTTTTTGATCACAGCGAGAATAAAATAGAACAATTATATGTGGATGAAGTCATCCAAAGTTAGAATGCATCACACAAATTGAAAGTTAGATATACAGATAAAATGTTTTACGAGTTGGATTGGGAGGGATCTTAGACCATTCATCCATACAGAATCCTTCCAGATCCTTGATATCCTTCGTCTGCACTTATGGAGTGCCCTCTTCAATTCAACCACAGGTTTTCAATGGGTTTCAAGTCTGGAGACTGAGATGGCCATTGAAAACGTGGATGTTGATGTGTGCTTGGGGTTATCGTCTTGCGGTCAAGTTTCAGCCTCCCAGCAGAGGCAACAAAGTCCTGGTACGGGGTAAGGTTCATGATGTCATTGACCTTAACAAGGGCCCCAGGACCAGTGGAAGCAAAATAGCCCCATAAAGATCCACCACCATATTTTACAGTAGGTATGGGGTTATTTTCTGCTCATGCATTCTCATTTCGACGTCAAACCCACCACCGGTGTGCGTGGCCAAAGGGTTCTATTTTCATGTAAACGCCTGGATTTTGGCTAAACGGCATTGGCACCTGGATTGGAACCGGAGCTTTGGTCAGTATTAGACCTCGTTAGTGTCACTTCTCTTTTTCAATGCATTTATTAATTTGGGTACTATTTCACGATAAGGATTTCACTTACTTTAATCCATTTAGATATCCCGGTCTCAACACACATTAGTATTCGTTCCATAAATGTATAGAGGCTATAGGAGCCAACTGTTTTCACTCTTTATAGACAAGTAAATTGTGGCCTACCTTCCTGTAATGTCAACCATCCAAATCTAAAATTCCAAATTCCATAAGCTCGCAATGGGTAGATTTTCCATTGTAGGCTACAAAATTACATTATCACATTGACAACACCCTGTCGGTCGCTCGCTCGTTCGCTGGCTTGTAGCCTACAACCTAACCTGATGGACAATGTTGATTGGCAGGTGGAATCATTTCCAATGAGGTTGTAAGGTTAAAGCAATGAGGTTACAGGATGGGCCCAAGCACGTATACACCACATGCACACCTAAGAATTTGTTTTAACTCAACATGACGTTGTATACACACACAGGCTTACACACACACGATAAGACACGCACTCCACACACACATGGATTTAGTATTGTAGATATGTGGTAGTAGAGTAGTGGCATGAGGGCACACACTTAATGTGTTGTGAAAAGTGTTATGAAATGTAATATTTTAAATTGTATATAACTGCCTTAATGTTGCTGGACCCCAGGAATAATAGCCTTGGCAGCAGCTAATGGGGATCCTTTTTGGCTGTTGAGCACTACTTTCAAACCTACTGGCTTAAAAATAATACAAAACCATTATAACACATCTTTAACTCATTAAATTCAATAGGTAATGAACCACTAAGAATTACGTTATTGAAGACAGAAAAAAAGACTGACACTTACAGCATTTTTACTGCACAGCATAAAGCCAATCTGGCCACTTGGATAGGTGGGAATGGTGCAGTAGGCATAATCCACCACTGGGAACAGTGTCTTGCAGAAGGTCCGCATCTCTTTAATCAGCTCCAAGTGGAGCCATTGACACTCTCCTGTGGAATTCAGAGGCAAACAAAAAAAGGGTGGGTCAATTCTGTCAGTCTCATTGATCTTATTGGTCTAACCCATCGCAATAGAATCAAACTATTTCCTCACAGGGCAATAAGTAAGCTGCTGAGCAGCATTTGCTGCAAAAAAAGATAGGGATGGTCCTCTGACTTCCCTCACCAATTGTACATTTCTCTTAATGGCAATCTTGCAATAATAATATGATGTGGGTGGCAACAGGTTTCCTGACAAGTTTAGATTGGCTGTCTATTTAACTCGTGTTACTGCTATGAATTGCACACACTTTGCCATCTTTTTCTAATAATGATATCTGAAGCAGGATTGAAGGGTCAGTAGAAATCATGTCACCTTGGCAACAAAGAATTCCACCATCTCGTAAGGCTGTCTTCATGAGTTCATAGTAAGACTCTTTGAACAAACTCTCAGCAGGCCCTGTAACAGCAAGAAGCATATAGGTAACTGGATTAGACTTACAGAAAAGTGAACACTTGAGATAGCTATTGATACATCAATTGTCAAAAGGTACATTTACTTTCCTGAAGAAAATATTTGTGCAAGCACACTAACTACAGAGAAATATTATGAGCAAATAAAACACTCATGTAGCAGGCATCTGTTTTCTTACCAACAGGGTCAGATGAATCTGTTATAATGATGTCAAAGGCATCCTGGTTCTGTTTCATGAACTCAAATCCATCTCCAACATTCAGAGTGAGTTTGGGACTGAAGAACCCTTTCGCCATACCAGGGAGGTACTTCTTCGACACATTGATTACATCCTTAAGGGCAAAGTGAAAATTATAACAAACTTTACACTTCTGTGTCGTCTATGATGTTACCAGTCAATGAAATGGAATGAGAAAAGAGCATGATTCCAGTCAGTGTTTGATACCTACCTCATCGATTTCACACTGAACCACTGATTCAACAAGTGGGTGCTTTACCACTTCTCTCAGGACACCACCATCTCCCCCACCAATAATCAGGACCTGCAAAGAGAAGGGAATACATTAATTATAATAAGTGATACAACACACCAACATGCAAAACTTCCCCAAAAAGTTCTGTCCAGGATTCTCTACAACGCACAATTAAGTCTTGTAGTATAATATGTTCAACTGAATTTATGGTGGGATGACTATACCTTTTTGGGGCAAGGGTGGGAGCACAGAGGTAGGTTGGCTATCATTTCTTGGTAGGAAAACTCATCTCTCTCTGTGCATTGAATAACTCCATCCAGCACAAGGACATTTCCATAGGTTTTGCTGAAAATATATGAAATGAGATTACTCACTTGAATGACTAATTAGTACAAACAAATAACCCCAGAAACAGTAGAAGAAGAGGAATAGGTAAAAAGGGAACAGACTGTATGTGGTTGCTTGATAATCATCAGGGATGGGTTAGGGGTGTCAAATACAAGTCATGATTGGCAAGATGAAGCTAGCAACCTAGTTAGCCAACTATACATATGAGACACGTTGTGCCAAGACATGCTAGCTAATGTAGGCCTACTAACGTTACTTAACACACAGGATATTGCAGAAATTTCAATGACAGAAGTGAGAGATGGCAAAAGCATCAACATTTGGGTTCATGACATCTGGCAAGTTAAACTAGCTAGCTAGATAGTTAGCTTTGGCTAGCTAACATGAAGAAAATGACCCCGACACACAACCAAAACAAATAACTAGCTAGAAAACCTTGGACACATTTCCTCCCTTAGACCCAATTAGGTAACTAGCTAGGTTAACTTTAACTAAGGTATTGCTGTCAGCTAGCTAGGTAGATACGTTTGCTAGCTAGTAAACGTTAGCCAACTAGTTAGCGCTAGCTAAACTTCTAGCAATAACGATTGGATATGTGGGAACAGTTACTTAACCTCTCAATTTTAAAAACATCCTAAATACTAGCTAGCTAGCAAGCCAGCGTTACATAACTAGCTAACGTAGCTAGCATACAAACAGTTGTATTTCTAGCTAGCTAACGTTAGCTAGCTAGCTACTTAACGTTACCTCTTGAAAACCATGACATCTTGAAATTTTGATTTTTGTTGGTAAAGAACCTCTTCTACTTGCAGACTCATCGCTTGTCCAGGCCATAACGTACACGTTTCTGTGAACCATCCGTCTTTTATGCTATCCATTATTGATGCAGTCGAAATGTACAGTTCGTTATAGTAAAAAAAAAAAAGATTTGTTAACGTTTCATTCAAAATAAATCAGACTGAGTTGTGAACCACGTTGGGCGTCGGGCATGTAGCGTTTCTTCTTCTATGAGGTTTAACAGCGGTTGGCATCCAATCAATGTTGCATTACCGCCACCTATGAGACTGGAGTATAACTCCCTTATCCTTTGCATTAAAAAATTAAAAAATACAACAAATACCCTACCATCTAATACTACACTCACCAAAAATATATATATACATATATATAATAATAATAATAATAATAATAATAACTACCATACTCCACTACTTAAATCTATTTATTCCTACTTCAGGCCAACAGCCTGAAGGGATGGGGCAGTAACTCGTCTGATGTCAAGTCTCGCACACCCAACTACCTCTCTGCAGCTGCAACCACAACCTCTATTTTCTGTGACTTACGTTCCATCCCTGCAGTACAGTTGATAACCATTGCTATAAATGCCAAAAATCAAATCTTACTGAAACATACAGTACCAGTCAAAAGTTTTGACACACCTACTCATTCAACGGTTTTTCCTTATTTTTGCTATTTTTTACATTGTAGAATAATAGTGAAGACATCAAAACTATGAAATAACACATATGGAATCATGTAGTAACCAAAAAAGTGTTAAACAAATCTAAATATATTTGAGATTTGAGATTCTTCAAACAGCCACCCTTTGCCTTGATGACAGCTTTGCACACTCTTGGCATTCTCTCAACCAGCTTCACCTGAAATGCTTTTCCAACAGTCTTGAAGGAGTTCCCACATATGCTGAGCACTTGTTGGCTGCTTTTCCTTCACTCTGCCGTCCGACTCATCCCAAACCATCTCAATTGGGTTGAGGTCGGGGGATTGTGGAGGCCAGGTCATCTGATGCAGCACTCTTTATTTAACTAGGCAAGTCAGTTAAGAACAAATTCTTATTTACAATGACAGCCTACACCGGCCAAACCCGGACGACGCTGGGCCAATTGTGCGCCGCCCTATGGGACTCCCAATCATGACCGGTTGTGATACAGCCTGGAATCGAACCAGGGTCTGTAGTGACACCTCAAGCACTGAGATGCAGTGCCTTAGACCGCTGCATCACTCTCCTTCTTGGTAAAATTGCCCTTACATCAGGATTCAGTGAGAGGAGCTAAATCAGAACGATTCCATCAGGATGGAAATATGGTTGTGTGTGTGTATATGTGTGCGTGTGTGTGTGTGTGTTTGAGCGTGCCTGTGTGCGTTGTTAATATATTTATATTATCTTGCTTCTCTGTGTGTCACAGATGACGGTGTCTTTTGGAAGGCCAGTGAGTAATTTTTATAAAGCTCCAAACCATTTATTGTACTGGCAATCAAACATTTGGGACATTTTTGTGCTTACTTTCAAATAGAATAAAAACACCATGAAGTTGCACATCTGCGATGGTGTAACCTGGGTTGTGTTTATTAGGCACCAAATGGAAGAAAACTGACTCAAACATGGAGGGACTACCTGGACTAAGAAAGGGTCCTCGGAATACATATCCCAAATGAAATAAATGATCTCACTCCAATAAATGTTAATAGAAAGATCTTGCTACCATGCAAAGGTAAATACCTGTCAATTTGTGGAAAAATCACACTGATTAACTGTTTAGTATTATCCCAGTTTTTCTTATGGTCTTGCCTACGCCTAGCGAACAGTTTTTTAAATTATATGAGAAAAAAATATTCCATTTGATTTGGAACGGCAAGCCTGACTAAATTAAACGGGCCTATTTATATAATGAATATGAATTCTGAAGAAATACATTATTAAATATTAAAGCTTTAGACCTATCACTAAAATCTTCAGTCATACAAAAGTTATACTTAAATCCGAACTGGTTCTCTAGCAAATTAGTAAGATTGTCTCACCCAATGTTCAAGAATGGCCTTTTCCCCTTTATTCAGATTACAACCTCTCACTTTCAGTTATTTGAAAAGGAAATAATCTCCCAAATATCACTACTTCTAAAACAAGCCATAGAAAGTTGGTTGCAATTTCAATTTAATCCTCCAGAAACAACAGAACAAATAATGCAACAAATATTGTGGTTAAACTCAAATATACTAATTGATAAAAAAAAAAATATTTTTTGAAATAATGTTTAAAAAAGGTATAATCTTCGTAAATGATATCATAGGTAGGACTGGTGGAGTTATGTCGCACATGCAGCTAACAAAGACATATGGAAATGTCTGCTCTAACCAAAGTTACAAGCAAATAATTGCAGCATTACCGCAAAAGTGGAAGGGGGAAAAAGTAAGGAACTTGTCTGTCGGCCTTGCATTAAAGAACATAATTGGTTAAAGAAAATTGTGATAAATAAAAAAGTATACCAGTTTCATTTAAGAACCAAAGGATTGACAGCCGTCCCATATAGATTTTAAAATAGTTGGGAAGAGATTTTTGACGTACCGATTCCATGGCATAGTGTTTATGAACTGATACGCAAAACGACACCGGATTCAAAACTTAGAATCTTTAAATTTAAATGATTATATAAAATTCTTGCTACCAATAGAATGTTTTTTATATGGGGGATACAATCTTCCCAGCTCTGCAGATTTTGCTGCAAAGATACAGAATCATTTGATCATTTGTTTTGGTACTGTCCATTTGTAGCTTGTTTTTGGACACAGGTCCAGGAATGGCTAAAGGATTGCAATATTTACCTGGAGCTAACCCTGCAGATAGCACTACTGGGTGATCTGAAAAGTAATAGTCAATCGATCAACAATATAATAATCCTTTTAGCAAAAATGTTTATTTTCAATTTACAATCTGTAAAAACAATGAGAATAGAAGGGTTCAGAACTTTTGTAAAACATTACAGTACAGTTGAAAAATATATGGCAAATAGAAATCCAATATGGATGGTGTTAAGAGATAGATGAGAGGTGTTGAATGGAGTTGAAGGATGGGACAAATAACAACTAATAACAACAAGTTAACTAATGTAAAGCATACTGAGTCCATAATAAGTATATAGGTTATAGGTTGAGAGCTTTTGTGAAAGAGCACAGTTAGAAAGATATGGCATATAGAAGCAAACCGGATGGACATCATGAAAATGATTGGAGAGGTTGAGGGTAGAGGAAGTTCAACAGTAAAAACAAACAAAATATAATTATTGTAAAATTGACTGTGTCCATAAAATGTATATAGTATGTATAAGCTGGAAGTAGAGGCCTACGCATTGTTGTTCACTAGTTTACTCCAATTAGGGAAGGGGTGGTGGGGTTGGAAAGTAATAAAGGGACATGTATTTTTTAAAGGATGTATCCATGTATATATGTATGTATATGTATTTATGTGTATGTATGTGTATATGTATGTATATATATATACAGTGGGGGAAAAAAGTACTTAGTCAGCCACTAATTGTGCAAGTTCTCCCACTTAAAAAGATGACAGAGGCCTGTAATTTTCATTATAGGTACACGTCAACTATGACAGACAAAATGAGGAAAAAAATTCCAGAAAATCACATTGTAGAATTTTTTATGAATTTATTTGCAAATTATGGTGGAAAATAAGTATTTGGTCAATAACAAAAGTGTCTCAACAAAAGTGTTTGTATACCCTTTGTTGGCAATGACACAGGTCAAACGTTTTCTGTAAGTCTTCACAAGGTTTTCACACACTGTTGCTGGTATTTTGGCCCATTCCTCCATGCAGATCTCCTCTAGAGCAGTGATGTTTTGGGGCTGTCGCTGGGCAACACTGACTTTCAACTCCCTCCAAAGATTTTCTATGGGGTTGAGATCTGGAGACTGGCTAGGCCACTCCAGGACCTTGAAATACTTCTTACGAAGCCACTCCTTCGTTGCCCGGGCGGTGTGTTTGGGATCATTGTCATGCTGAAAGACCCAGCCACGTTTCATCTTCAATGCCCTTGCTGATGGAAGGAGGTTTTCACTCAAAATCTCACGATACATGGCCCCATTCATTCTTTCCTTTACACGGATCAGTCGTCCTGGTCCCTTTGCAGAAAAACAGCCCCAAAGCATGATGTTTCCACCCCCATGCTTCACAGTAGGTATGGTGTTCTTTGGACGCAACTCAGCATTCTTTGTCCTCCAAACACGACGAGTTTAGTTTTTACCAAAAAGTTATATTTTGGTTTCATCTGACCATATGACATTCTCCCAATCCTCTTCTGGATCATCCAAATGCACTCTAGCAAACTTCAGACGGGCCTGGACATGTACTGGCTTAAGCAGGGGCACACGTCTTGCACTGCAGGATTTGAGTCCCTGGCGGCGTAGTGTGTTACTGATGGTAGGCTTTGTTACTTTGGTCCCAGCTCTCTGCAGGTCATTCACTAGGTCTCCCCGTGTGGTTCTGGGATTTTTGCTCACTGTTCTTGTGATCATTTTGACCCCACGGGGTGAGATCTTGCGTGGAGCCCCAGATCGAGGGAGATAATCAGTGGTCTTGTATGTCTTCCATTTCCTAATAATTGCTCCCACAGTTGATTTCTTCAAACCAAGCTGCTTACCTATTGCAGATTCAGTCTTCCCAGCCTGGTGCAGGTCTACAATTTTGTTTCTGGTGTCCTTTCACAGCTCTTTGGTCTTGGCCATAGTGGAGTTTGGAGTGTGACTGTTTGAGGTTGTGGACAGGTGAATTTTATACTGATAACAAGTTCAAACAGGTGCCATTAATACAGGTAACGAGTGGAGGACAGAGGAGCCTCTTAAAGAAGAAGTTACAGGTCTGTGAGAGCCAGAAATCTTGCTTGTTTGTAGGTGACCAAATACTTATTTTCCACCATAATTTGCAAATAAATTCATTAAAAATCCTACAATGTGATTTTCTGGATTTTTTTTCTCAATTTGTCTGTCATAGTTGACGTGTACCTATGATGAAAATTACAGGCCTCTCTCATCTTTTTAAGTGGGAGAACTTGCACAATTGGTGGCTGACTAAATACTTTTTTCCCCCACTGTATATACAGTGAGGGAAAAAAGTATTTGATCCCCTGCTGATTTTGTACGTTTGCCCACTGACAAAGAAATGATCAGTCTATAATTTTAATGGTAGGTTTATTTGAACAGTGAGAGACAGAATAACAACAAAAAA